CCTTTAATATAAATTACTGGTGCAATATGTAACAGACTTTTTTGACTGCCTACTGTAGTCCTTGCTGATGAAACTTTGATTTGGATAGGGGTGGGAGGCTGTTTTCTCCTCTCCATCATGACTAAAGTAGACACTGATTAATTAAAGCCTGTCACAGTACTTTCATTTCCCTTGTCGATGATTGGTTTTTGTGATGCAGTTCTGGCCAGTTAAACAAAATGGGAGTCTGCTGGAGAAATTCTGGAAAAGGTTACTGTTATGGTTTGGCTCTGCGTCCCCACCCAAATCTCATCTTGAACTGTAATACCCACATGCTGGAGGAGGGGCCTGGTGGGAGGTGATTGAATTATGGATGGACATCCCCCTTGCTGTTCTTGTGATAGTAAGTGAGTTATTGCAAGATCTGGATGTTTGAAAATGTGTGGCACTTCCACCTTTGTTCTCTTTCTCTCCTGCCATCATGTGAGACATGTCTTGCTTCCCTTTTGACTTCACCATGAATGTAAGTTTCCTGAGGCCTTCCCAGCCATGTGGAACTGTGAGTCAATTAAACCTCTTTTCCTTATAAATTACACAGTTTTAGGTAGTTCTTTACAGCAGTGTAAAAATGGACTAATACAGTTACCTTTCTGATTAAAAGGGAAGCAAGATTTTTTCTTCCTGACATTGTTAAATTTGGACGTTACCTAACTATCTTATGACAATAAGGAATACTATCTCAAGAACAAACCAACATGTTAATGATGATAGAAAGATGAACTTGGGTCCCTGATAATGTTGTTGAAGTATTAAATTAACCAGCCTTGAAGACACCCTATCTCTGAATTCTTTCTGTATAAGAGCATTTATTTCCCTCATTGTGTAAGCTAGTTAAGTAGGGACTTTTGTTTCTTGTAACAGAGAACATGCCAAATAACACAATGTAAATGAGTTTGAGGACAAATTTGGGGAAATATAAATTAAAAACAAAATCTTCTGGCAACCAAGAAAAATTCTCCATAAAAACAGAAACGAAAGAAAACAGTTTTACTATTGAATAATCACTAAACGAAAATATGATGCGTATCACAGGCAATCCACTAAGAGATTGCAAAAACAGAAACAAATCTCACCCTTTTATATAGCCAGGCAGAAACATCCCTTTACGTACATGTTTTCAAGATAAATGATAATTAGTCTTCAAGTAAGAGGACTAAACAACACCTATTATTTGTAACACATAATTCATCTTAAATTCACCTGGTATTTGGGGTGACCATCTATGTGAGCTAAATTGGCTTTATACAAACGAAAAACAAACTTCTTAAAGCTTTATGACAGGAGATAGTTCTGCGATTTGGAGCAACGGATCTCGTGGAGTTTGGCTCTGATTTTCCCACAGAACAGGGGATGTGGGAGCTCTATCTTTCTATCATTCTGGATAATTACATTTCAACGAGATGGCTTCCAGGTGCTTGAGGAAACATTCCTGGGTTGTAAAATTGGCAAGAGTCTTATTTAGCTTTTAAAAAGATTTACATACATCTCAATGGGGGCAAAGAAAGAATTCACAATTACAAGTGTTCTTAAGTAATAGAGAGCAGAAGGATGATTACCAGAGGCTGGGAAGGCTAGTAGGGGGAGGGGAGGTTGGTTAATGAGTATTAAAAAAAATAATGAATAAGACTTAGTATTTGATAACACAACAGGGTGATTGTAATCAATAATAATTTAATTCTACATTTAAAAATAAAAGAGTGTAATAGGATTGTTTGTAACACAACGGATAAACACTTGAGGAGATGGAGACTGCTTTCTACATGATGTGATTATTACGCATTGCATGCCCGTATCAAAACCTCTCACGTACCCCATAAATATATACACCTACTGTGTACCCACAAAAAATAAAAGTAAAAAGAAACAAAAAACAAGATTTTTAAGTAAATGCTCTAGGAAAAGAGATTGGAAGGGGCACTTCTTTCCCTTTCTTGCACTGGGGAGAATTAAATCTCTTTCTTACTTGTGATTTTATTCACTCTTACAACAAACTTACAGTTATCTCATGAAGTCCTTGAGCATTTGCCCACTCACAGTTCTCACTCGTGCCCTCCAGCCCCCTCAGCCAGGATATCCGTTATTTAATTCTCAGGCAGCTCAGGTTGAGGGTATAGTAATGTGATTTTCGGTGGGCAGCTGGAGGAGTTGGGCAGAAAGGAGGGAAGGGAATGACTGGTCTTTAATTCCAGTGGAGTTTGTGTCTTACTAAGGAATCATCTTCACATCTTGGTGGCACCAGGGCCTCTGAGCACAGCTGTGTAGTTACTGCTCTACATCGAGGCCAGCCAAGGGGGTGAGAGAGGCTAGAAGCCCAAATCCAGCCCATTCTTCCCTCACTAAGCCTTGTCCCCAGAGGAAGGTGCACCTGCTTCTTCACACAAAAGTGTTATGTGGTTGCCAAGTCTTTAAGCCAAGGGGGTATGTCCTTATCCACCACCCTGGCCCTCTACCCTATATTCTTAGTGATTAAAGCACATTCAGGAAGTATTAGTTTACTGGGGTTGCTACAATGAAGTGTCATGGACTGGGAGGCTTGAACAACAGAATTTTATTTCCTCACAATTCGGGAGGCTGGAAGTTGGAGATAAGGTGTCAGTAAGGTTGTTTCTTTTTAAGGCATCTTTCCTTGGATTGCAGATGGCTGCCTTCTTACTGTGTTTTCAAATGGTCTTCTCTTTGTATGTGACTGTTTCTTAATTTTTTCCTCTTATAAGGACACCCATCGTGTTGGATTAGGGCCCACTCTTACTACCTCATTTTAACTGAATTACTGTTTTTTGTTTTTTTGTTTTTTTCTGAGACAGACTCTCTCTCTGTTGCCCAGGCTGGAGTGCAGCAGTGCGATTTCAGCTCACTGCAACCTCCATCTCCCAGGTTCAAGCAATTCTCCTGCCTCAGCCTCCTGAGTAGCTAGAATTACAGGCATGCGCTACCACACCTGGCTAAGTTTTGTATTTTTAGTAGAGACGGGGGTTTCACCATGTTGGCCAGGCTGGTCTCGAACTCCTAACCTCCTGATCTGCCTGCTTCGGCCTCCCAAAGTGCTGGGATTACAGGTGTGTGGAAGGACTCAACTGAGTTTGTAACAAAGGGCAATCTCTTTATTGTATTCTGGAGGTAAACAGATATTTAAAAATCCATTTTATAGGTAGACAAAGTGAGGCCCAAAGCAAAGCAGGAATTTCCTGTGGCCTTATAGTTAGAAGTAGCCGCTTTGGAGTCTGACCAATTTAGGTTCAAATTCTGGCTCTATCACTTCCAGCTGTGGACAAACCACTTATTTCACCCAAGCCTCAATCTCCTAATCTATAAAATTAAGACTAATAATATATACTTCATGGTGTGATTATGAGACTAAAATAAGAAAATATATGTAAAGCACTTAGAAATAGTAAATGTCTAATACCTGGCTTTATCATTGATAAAAATAATTGATAGATTTCATTTAGTATTCCAATCAGATGTTGCAGGTAGATGTTAAAGGATTTTTTTAAAAAGTAAAGTCATGACTCTCATACAGATATAAAATAAGCACATATCTCATGCCTGTAATCCCAGCACTTTGAGAAGCTGAGGCGGGCAGATCACAAGATCAGGAGTTCAAGACCAGCCTGACCAACACGATGAAACCCCGTCTCTGCTAAAAATACAAAAATTAGCTGGACGTGGTGGCACACACCTGTAATCCCAGCTACTCAGGAGGCTGAGGCAAGAGAATCGCTTGAACCAGGAGGTGGAGGCTGCAGTGAACCGAGTGGCAGGCTGCACTCCAGCCTGGCAGCAGAACGAGATTCTGTCTCGAAAGAAAAAAAAAAAGAAGAAAAAAAAAGCACATATCAAATATTTTATTTAACTAATCAACAAAGAAACCAGTAAGAAGATATAACCAGTTCCAAAGTATGCATTAATCAGCTACTGGTAATGCTGAAATGAATTTGCAAACAGATAGAAAACTGTCAATATCCACAGAGCCATAGCCAGTTTTATTCCACATGAAAATATTCCTTTGCTTTTCTTTGGGGAAAAATCATTTTCATTACTGAGTTATAAAATTGTTCAAAGACTGAAGTCTCAGACCCCCTGTAGAACCAGATGATGTGGAAGGGTGTGCTAGAAAGGATGTCCAGTGATCTTTATTTTTTTTCCATTCTTTCACAATTTTCCCTGATACAAAGGATTAAATTTCCTTATTAGTAAAATGAGAGATTTGGAGTAGTGATTTTTGAGACCTTTTCAGTTCCAACATGCTATGACTCCGATTCCTTGCCCATTATCTTTGTGTGTGCATAAAGGCTCTTGGAATCTTTCGTTGTTATGTTAGAACTATTGTAATAGATACTATTGTACTAGTTGAAATCAGTCATAACTATGAGTGCATCCTTAGGCTTTCTCTGTGTAAAAATAAAATCAAACCAAGATCCTATTTAATTTCCAGTTACTTTTAGGGTCTGTGTGTGTGCCCACACAAGGGTCAATGGAAGCAGATCCTGAGAGCAGGCATTCCAGATGTATTTGTTTACCTATGGCTACCTAAGGAAGACACTTGGTAACCTGGTTAATATGACAAACCAGAAAAATATTATGTAGACTTTGCAGATGATAAAATTTAGGATGCAGTTAATCAAGTTTTCTCGAATTCTTATAGGCTTTGATCTGCAGGGCAAATATAGCAGATCTTCCTGAGACTGCTTTGGGATAATGGAGGTGGTCATAGTAGTGTTGGTGCAGGACAGTTCTCCAGGCAGCCTTGGACTGGCCCAGTTCTCTCCCTTTTTCACTTGCAGTTCTCAATAATAACTGCAGAATGTGCTGGGAACGCACCATCCTGAGATAAGGGAGGAGCTGGCCGGAACAGCCTGGGCTCTGTTCCAGGCCTTCCCACAGCCAGAACAGGATGTCCTCCACACTTCAGCCCAGTATATCATGTGACCCTGAAGTATATCACCTGGGACTGGCTGCCTTTCAGGGTCCCTTTCCTGCGTTGCAAGTAGGGCAGCACAGTCTGTGCTCCGTCCATCCTGGGCAGCTTTCTTGGGCCTTGAGGGAACAGCTCACAGTGAATCAGGATTCTGTTGTCCTTTGCTGCCTATTGGTGAGTAATAAACCCTCTTCACATAACTCGTTGTGTGTGTGGGTGCTCTGCCTCACTGGGCTCAGACAAGTTGGTAACTGGTGCGCAGTAAAACTGCTTCCCAGTTGAGGGTGTCAAAATTGGTGTTGGAGCTGGTGGTACCCATGTTAGGTAATGAAGGAGGATGGAAGGAGATGGGAGTGTGATTTTGTTGTTGTTGTTTATTTCTCCTCTATTAGACTCTAGTCTCTAAACTTTAAAGCAGTGGAGAAGAGAGTCAGAAGCTTGTAAGTTATGTAATTTGATGCTTAATAAATGTTTGTTGAATGATTGTACTTCTTCCTTTCTCTAAACATAGAGCCCATGTAACCTAAAAAGCTCTCGATCTACTAAGCTTTTAGAAAACCTACCATATTTAAGGGTATAAAAACATGAGTAGTGATGCTGTGTGACTGATATATTTTGAGGATAAATATTCTGCTTTGTAGATTTTGTCAGGTAAAACCCTACTCAGTTTAGAAATCAACATCAAAACTTCTTTTTTATTTAAATTTGTTTATTCTTATTTAAATAATCTCATTTTAACTAAAAGGATATTCTTGATGGTAAAACATGAAAACAATCACATTTCTTAGTTTTAATCTTCCTTTTCTTTCATCCTAGTCATTTCTGTAGAAACAGAGGCTGAAATGACTGGGTAGCATTATGGAGGATTTCTGGTAATAACAACACCTACACAGTGTGCTGCAGGAAATAGCGAGTCCATACCCGATAATTATGACTTGATGAATCATAGAAGAATTTAGGAGCATTGCGACTGAATGTTGAAGATTTACATTCCAAATATATTTTTATTGCACCAATAACATAACTTACACATTCAAGGGGAAAAAATATCAAAGATCTAGGTTTTATACATGCACATGTACACATTTATGTCTATCTACATAGATCTAGACATGCACAAATGTGGGGCAAGCAAGGAGCAGGGGGCGGACATGGAGGATGAGGTGGTGAGAGAAGATAGTGATTTTTCGTTAACAGTGATGAATACCTCTAATGTGGAAGTCAAGTGACGTTTATTCATTTATTCTATCATTGAAATAACCCTGAGAAGTAGGCACTAGTGACACCACTTTATAGATGAAGAAAATGAGACTTAATAGTAAGTAGCAGAGCCCAGTTTTGAACCAAGATAAGCCTGGTTCCAAAGCTGACAGGACACATCATAAGACCTTTCCTGTTGTTCCTGAACTGCAACTGGGGCCCCAAACTAAAGTAAAAAACCAGTGAGTACCTCTACATTTTAAAAACAGAGATCTGCCAGAAGCTGTAGCCTATCACATTCTCCTGGGGCTTCAAGCAGCACGATTGCTCCTGCTACTAATCCTAAGCTTCTCCCATCTCTGCTTCCTGTCCACAGAAAGGACTGAGAGGAAAAGAGGTATAGCTTTCCTCTCCCCAAAGCTCATGGAAAGGGAGAGAAAAAAGCAACCAGAATTTCTTCTAAAGATCAATTTCTTCCTAGAAGAAGAGGAAATCAACATTCTTTTTTTAAGACAGGGTCTTGCTCTGTCACCCAGGCTAGAGTGCAGTTGCATAATAACAGCTCACTGCAGCCTTGAACTCCTGGGCTCAAGTGATCCTCCTGCCTCAGCACCCACAGTAGCTGGAACTACAGGCACATGCCACCAGCTGATTTTTTCAAATTGTTTAGTAGAGATGTAGTCTTGCTCTGTTACCCAGGCTGGAGACCAGCATTTTTATCATCATAATGGGGATTTGCTTCAAGAGTGGACATGTTGCTTAACCCCCATGTAGCTGGAATAGGAGCAAAGAGATCTGGAGAGAGAGAGCATGGTGAGGTCCAAGGACCACTCTGTTCTTAATTTGTCAGTCTCTGATAGAAGATGGATCCTATATGTTCCTGCTGACCTAACACTTTGCTGAAAAGTGAGAATTAGGGCTAGTCTTGAACAATGTCTGCAGTGTAGGCTATGTGTGTATTGGAAAAGAGGATGCTGGCTAAGAAGCACATGCATTGCAGGCCATCAACTGGGCCTGCCTGGAATAGATGGCCAAGCCTGGCAAAGGAGAGCCAGTGCCTAAGGAATCTTCACCCAAATAACCCCTTCATTTGCAAAGGATGTTAGCACCTCCTCATCAGGATGTTGACTGCATTGAATAGAAATGCATCATGGCCAGCCAAGAAGAGGTCTGTAAGTCTGCCCTTCCTCCCTCATCCCCAGTTGCAATTAGGAAAAGAGGAGGAGAAAAATGGATACAGAACAGATCTTTTCAGGCAGAACTACCCTGAGTTAGAGGAAGGAGAAGACACCTTTCAATGAGTTTGAGAACAGGACTGAATATTATATAGGAGAATTAGAATGCTTTAATAATCAAAATGTGCTAAAAATTTGTAAAATTTTTGTTCCATAATTGTTATAGTAAAGTACAAAACTTTTATATTTATACCATCCCAATAAAAGCAAGCATAGTCACCAAGCCAGTTACTCTACCATTCTCTCCTCTTGTAATCCTGATTAGGATTACATTATATATCCAGAGGCATATCGCCAGCTCCTTCTCTCTTCCTTGTTTGCTCATTTCAGAGGAAGAGAAGGGGCTGGTTGGTTAACGTTTATTGGGTCTCCTTTCCTAAGTAGGCAGAATCACTGTATTGAAAGGCTATGAGGACCTGCCACTATCTTTCAGGTCTATGTCCTCCTACACAACATTTGTCTTCATGGACTTGGAGTCTGCCCTGCAATCAATCAGTCTCTCTCTCTCTCTCTCTCTCTCTCTCTCATAATCCAGATTAGGTAGGGAGCCAGAGGCATATCGCCAGCACTTCATGGCGCTTCTTAAGACTTCTCCAGCCAAGGGTAGTGGTGAATAGCTGTAGTCCCAGCTATTCAGGAGGCTGGGGCAGGAGGATCACCTGATCCCAGAAGTTTGACGTTAGGGTGAGCTATGGTGCCACTGCACTGCAGCCTGGGCAACAGACTGAGATTCCGTCTCTAAAAAAAACAAAAATTAAAAATAGACTTCCCCAATTAATTGGAATTTTTCAAAGCTCATGAGAAGGTGCACATGCTTCCCATAGTACCTCCCTCAGTGCTTCTGCCTCCGTTGGGCATCCACTACCCATTAGCCTGACTTAATGGGAAAGTTCCTAGCTGGCTCTATTTGCCACAGTTCTGAGATGAAGAAAGAGGGATGCAGCAACCACTGCAGGACTAGTGGATCAAACTTTTAAAATTCAAATTCAGGAAAATCTTGAGTCTTTTATTTTTTAATTAATTTATTTACTTATGCATGTATTAATTAATTTATTCATTTATTTATTGATACAGAGTCATACTCTGTTGCCCAGGTTGGAGGGCGGGGTGTGATGATAGCTCATTGCAACCTCAAACTCTTGGGCTGAAGCCCTTTTCCTGCCTCAGCCTCTCAAACAGCTGGGACCACAGGTTTGCATCACCACACCCAGATAATTCTTAATTGTTTTTGTAGAGACGGTGTCTCACTATGTAGCCCAGGCTGGTTATTAACTTTTGGGCTCAAGTGATGCTCCCACCTCAGCATACCAAAGTGCCAAGATTACAACCATAAGTCACCATGCCTGGCCAGGTCTTGAATCTTCAAATGGCAGGATTAGGCACTGTGCCTTTGCAAGGCATGCCACTCAAAAGGTAACAGTAAAACAGCAAAAGGACTAACACAACTAACTCCATTTTTGTTTAAGGGGCTTCCCCATTCTTACATGTAAACTAGGATAATTTTAGAGCACTGAGATAAAATGCAAAAACAATAATCATGCAGTTTTAAAAACTAACTCTGGGATTAAAGGCAAAGTATATAAACAATTGGCTATGTTTTGTTAAAGATTTACAGGAGCATTGTGACCTGACCAAGGACAAAGAAGATCCCAACTTCGTCGGACCCTAGCTGGCATCCAGATGCCTGCAATTGTCATCACCTCTTGATCTAAACCACCTTTTCCTCCTCATATTCACCTACCATAAAAACCTTCTTGCCAGCCAGGAAAATTTAAGACAGTACTTTAGAAGTTAAGTTCTAAGCTAGTTCACCATTTTCTCTGTTTTGCTGGCTTTATGAATAAGCCTGCTTTTTCTGCCACCAATTCTTCTCTCTCATGTTTGGCTTTTGAGCAGCCAAAACTGGGTTCAGTTACAAAGAGCTTGCCCTGTTTCTTTTGCCCTTATCCCCAAACATGGACACCTGACTCTCCAAGTAGAACTAATTTAAGTCCATTGGGTTCATAATCATTGTGGTAGATTGCAGCATTGACTTCAATTCTAAGTCAGCCAGGAACTCTCCCATCAAGTCAGCCCCTTCCTGTGTCTACAATCATTTCAATGAACTTTGCAGTTCTTCCCATTAATGAAGCAGAATATATTTCTCCACACCTTAACTTTGGGTTCAGCCATATGATTTGGTTTGGGCAACTGAAGAAAGTGGAAATGACAAAGGTCCATGATGAGCTTAGGGCTTAAGATGCCTTGAATTTGCTTCATGATCTCTTGCACATCTGCTGTCACCATAAGAAGAACTTCCCCGAACATTCTGCCCCCTCTACCTAGGCACAAGAATGAGCATGTTGGAGGCCAACCTGAACCCAAATCATTGTGAGCAGCCAAGACTAGCTGGATACATAACTTGAAAGGGCACTGCCCAGATAGCTCAGCCTCAATCAGTCAGTCCTCAGACACATGAGTCATATAAATAGTTTTTATTTTAAGCCACTGAATTTTGGGGTGGAGCTTATAAGATACCAAAAGCTAATTGAGGCCAGGTGCAGTGGCTTATGCGTGTAGTCCTAGCACTTTGGGAGGCCAAGGTGGGAGGATTGTTTGAGCCCAGGAGTTTGAGACCAGCTTTGGTAACACAGCAAAACCCTACCTCTACCAAAAACAAAACAAAAAAATTTTTAAAGCTAACTGATAAAATCATTTATCTAATTCAGTGAGTAAGTGTGGTAGAAGTTAAGCCAGAAAAAAATGCTATATTATTTCTTGAATAATTTCCCCTTGGACTGCACTTGTTAAATTAACAAGTGATTAAATTAATCCTAGTTTGTATTATTTGCTGAAATGTGTATGTTTCCTAGCATAGCCTAAGAAGAAAATGTATCTTCACTCTCATTTTGTAGAACTCTGACAGGACCGTACAGTCATTGCTGACAAAGCCCAGTCCTACATATCATCATAGTACATGAGGTGCGTGTACAGTTAATGTGAAAAATAAGCTCAATTGTCTTGATATGTTGCAGTCCAAAACGTCATTTATGAGTCATTTATTTAGAACTCAGAACACTCTTTCCCATAGAAACAATATTATACTGTTTCCAGGCAAACAACAAAAACCCATTTAACCCCAAAATATAACTGACTGATATCAGTAGTCTGTTGGGAGATGACTTCTTCCTCATTGCTTGGATTTCCTTCTCCCTTTATGCTTCCTCTCTTTTCCTTGTTTGCTGTTTCCAGAGGAAGAGGAGGGGCTGGTTGGTCAAATTTTATTGGGCCTCCTTTCCTAAGTGGGTAGAATCGCCGTATTGAAAGGCTATGAGGACCTGCCACTATCTTTCAGGTCTGTGTCCTCCCACACAACGTTTGCCTTCATGAACTTGGAGTCTGCTCTGCAATCTCTCTCTCTCCCTCTCTCTCTCTCTGTCACTCTTCCTCCCTCCCTCCCTCTCCTTCCTTCCCAGATATACCTGAGCCTATGTTTCCCATATCTCTCTCTCTCTTCCTCCCTCCCTCTCTCTCCTTCCTTCCCAGACACACCTGAGCCTATGGTTCCCATGATTCATATTTACAAAGGAAATTCCACTGTAGTCTCAGGCCTAAGATGAATTCTCCATCCCAAAATACTGAAAATCCTTTATTCAGGCAGTTGTGCAGATTTTTAATAAATCAATGCTTAATGTCTCTCATTTGGCTGGTGATCCTTTGCTGGATACAACATCAGTCTGAATGCTGGAGGGATCGGGGTAACCAGCATTTAGAATTCCTAAGACTCTTCTTGGGAGGCTGAGGCAGGAGGACTCCTTGAGCCCGGGAGTGCAGGAGCAGCCTGAGTAACATGGCAAGACCCCATCTCAGAAAAGAAAAAAAATTCCTAAGACTCATTCCTCTTCTGTTCATCATTCCTTTGGGAAAAATTTTTCCTATGTTCCAACTGTGGAAGACTGGATACACCTTGAATGCAACCTCCTTTCATATCTTCAAGGTAAGACTCTCATTTTGCAATGACTCATCTTTTGGAAGAATCTCTAGTTCTTTCATGGAAGAGTAATGGTTATGTTTTGTTAGAAGAAAAGTTGATTTTGAAGAAACTAAGAGAGGCAGTAGAAACCATGTGTGTGTTCCATTTATTTGAAAATTCCATAAACATGCATTAACTTACTCAGTTCAGAGCTCAGAGATTAAATTTTTCTCTAACCTTAGGATATAAATTTATTCTAATAAAAACTCGCAACATTACCTTTCTAATTCTGAGACTGTTCAGCAACATCACTATTTTAACTAACTTTTTTCCTCCGTTAAAACTGTATAACTTTATTCATTTTGTCTCTCCCCGTCCTTTTTTTTTTTTTTTTTTTAGAGAGAGAGATGGGGCCTTGCTATGTTGTCCAAGCTGTCCTCCAACTCATGGGCTCAAGCAATCCTCACGTGGCTTGTCTCATAGTTTTAAAAACCAAACTATTCAATATAGACATGTAGTTTCTCTGTTTATCACTAGAATTTTCTTTTTCAATTCATTCCGAAAGCAATTTCCCTCCACAGTCTATGTCTCACATCCTAAAAGAGATCATGTAAATTATCACTTAACTAGTTTCCCCACAAATTTTATAGCCAGCAAAATATATTATTGATAACTATATATTTTAACTATAAAAATTTAATAAAATTGTTAAAACTTTGAGATTTTCCAGCCTTCCTTTTTTATAACTGGTACTTAAAAATGAATACAGATCTATATATCACATCTTACATACAATTCAAATACTTCTTAAGGCTTTACCTTCAGATAACAGTGGCTTGAACCATGGGCTTACAAATTGAGACCACCAAGTGAATCAATTCTGCATATCTACTACCAAAACCACTTTTAATATTCCCTCAGGAATGCATGCTCTTACACATTGTTGAGTAGCTCAGGGCTAATCGCCACTCACTCTGGGCCAGTGGAAGCCCCCACCCACAGCCAGGCCAGTTGCACAGGTGCTAGCTCTTCTTTGAGGTAGGTAGAGATGGGAGGCTCTGGTGCGGTAGAAGGCCAAATTCTCCTGGTTGGAAGAAGCTCCCCTGCTCTGCTGTGGGAGAGCATAAATGTTCTGAGAGAAGCAGGGACAAGAGAGGAAAGGGGAAAACACTGGCAGAATTTCATCCTAGCTCCATGTACCCAAAGGCCAGATTCATCCCTGCCTCTGCCACAGTTACATTCTCTTTAAAACACATTAAGACACTCCTTTCCTTTTCTCTCTCTCTCTTTCTTTCTCTTTCTTTCTTTCTTTCTTTCTTTCTTTCTTTCTTTCTTTCTTTCTTTCTTTCTTTCTTTCTTTCTTTCTTTCTTTCTCTTTCTTTCTTTCTTTCTTTCTTTCTTTCTTTCTTTCTTTCTTTCTTTCTTTTTTTCTTCTTTCTTTCTTTCTTTTCTTTCTCTTTCTCTCTCTCTCTCTCTCTCTCTTTTTTTTTTTTTAAACAAGGTCCTGCTCTTTTGCCCAGGCTGGAGTACAGCAGGGTAATCAAGGCTTACTGAAGCCTTCACCTCTCTGGCTCAAGTGATCCTCCCACATCAGCTTCCCAAGTAGCTGGAATCACAGGCATGGGCCACCACACCTGGCTAATTTTTCTATTTTTAGTAGAGACAGCATTTCTACATGTTGCCCAAGCTGGTCTTGAACTCCTGGGCTCAAGTGATCCACCGGCCTCAGCAAGACACCCTTTTCTTTGAATTACAGAAATGGGCATATGTCTGAGCCTGATCACTACTTTTGGCCACTTCATGAGCTCCCCTATCCGAGAGCCACCAACTGTTAAGAGGCCAGGAAGGAGGGTCCCAGGTAAGGTCAAAATCCCCTAGAGTTCCTGGACACCAGCATACTCTTTTGAGATGCCCACCCTCTTAAGCTTTGGAGGAGATGGGGATGACACTCTGGCCCTAACACTGCTCAACTTTCACCTGACATATATGGTATATTTCCTTAAGAAATCATAGCAAAAGTCATAGCAGTAGTAGTAATTTAAAAATCATAGTAAAATTTTTTTAATGTCTTATAGAATTTGGGATGTAGTATTATAAATATAAAAAAAGTCACTAACAGAATAAATTTAAAATGTCTCATCATAAAAAATGATAGTTAATCAAGGTGATGGATATGTTAATTAGCGTGATTTAATCATTGCCACATTCTATACAAACTGTATAATAAAACATCACATTGTGCCCCATACATGCATAAAATTAAAATTTGTCCATTAAAAATATTAATAATAAGTTTTAAAAATCATACAGCAACTCAAAAAGCTGTCAATTAATAAACATTTTAATATTGAACTAAGGCTCATTGTTTTTTTTTTGTTTGTTTGTTTTTTTTTGAGACGGAGTCTTGCTCTGTAACCCGGGCTGGAGTGCAGTGGCCGGATCTCAGCTCACTGCAAGCTCCGCCTCCCAGGTTTAGGCCATTCTCCTGCCTCAGCCTCCGGAGTAGCTGGGACTACAGGCGCCCGCCACCTCGCCCGGCTAGTTTTTTGTATTTTTAGTAGAGACGGGGTTTCACGGTGTTAGCCAGGATGGTCTCGATCTCCTGACCTCGTGATCCGCCCGTCTCGGCCTCCCAAAGTGCTGGGATTACAGGCTTGAGCCACCGCGCCCGGCCCAGGCTCATTGTTATAACTATCAACGGTATTAACAAACAATGATAAAACATGTAAAATACTTTGTCCTTTAAGGTTATAAGGATGAAAAAAAGCATGTGCCTAAGAAAGCAAAACAACACCAAGAAACTGAAGATACA